AGGAGTATGTACTTGTGTAAATCAAAAAAATTTCTTTACTTCAGTGGGAATGATCAATCACGTAAAGGTACTGTGTTTTCACCAATCATATCGATTTCAGTATTACCAATCAGATTGGAGTATTCCGCTAAACTGCTACTATTGTCATAATTGCAAGGTAGATTTCAGCATATGATTTTGGAAACCTCACTTGTGATACTGAGTTCCAGACTAGATAAAGCAACTTCATTTTTGGATTATGTGTTCTAATGAAACTATATTCTTGAGTCCAAACTACATTTTTTTATTTACTTGAACATCTGCTGTATGAATGAGGTTCTTATAACAATCGCCATTGATGAAGACTTCTGGAAACAATTCCATCTTTTCATTCATCCTCATAGTGACCAAACAAATCATCTCAGTCCACTAGGAAAGCATTCGATTTCTTCACTTTATTATTTGTGAAATATATAGTTGTCTTGAAATAGTAAACAAGAACTTATGTATGTAGCTTAATTAATGTCTCTCTTATGACTGAAACGAAAGGTTCTCAATCGAGGTGTTCAGGCTATTTAGCCTCAACAGGCTTTGGTGTTGGTATTTTCCGAGCCTATATCAGTCCGGTACTTGCTTTAATTGGTGTACTCGGAAATCTGCTGGCCTTTCGTTTGTTCTTGAAGCATCGTCCATGGAACAGATTTTCAGTTTACGCTATGTCTTTAGCACTATCTGACAGTCTTGTTTTATTATCTAACACACTCCTTGATGATTTTCTTGGCCGTGGTCTTTTCTACGCTACAAATCAGAGATTCGGTATAAAACTTGATGTTTTGTCATTAGCATCTTGCCGCATGATGGAAGTTATGGGAACCTGGTTCGTGTTTACTTCTGGATACATCCTTGTTGCGTTCGCTCTCGATCGGATAGCCTGCATGTTTTGGCCAATTCGATGTCGGTCGGATCGTGGAGTAGGAGTTGCGGCGATCAGTTGTACAATGATTACATGCTTCGGTCTTGTAATCAGTTTGCCTGCAGCTTTGGTGCACAACTTAATAGAAGTTTTACCAACAAGACTAGAACATTATTCAAAGATCTCATTTGGAAACTCCTACAATAGAATGGCAGTGGAAGCTAACAGTATTATTAGTGAAACCTCCTTAGAGCCATACTCAATAAATGCTGGACTAGATAACTCCAAGGAAATGGTAATGCGCACTCCTTTGGCTGCAAAAGTTCATAATATGCAAAGGGATTTGAATCCAACTCTTCAGGACAGAACATTCGCAGAAAAAAACAATAGTGCTTTTACATTAAATGATTCGGATGAAAGTGGTGTAAGCACTAACCCAGGGACATCTACCAATCTAAGCTTAGAAACAGTTATGTACTGGATTGTGAATACATCGCAACCACTTAGCGCTGCATCCCAGACTTCATCTATGAGAAATCACAGAAGAAATCAAACGGGTATGTTAAAATTTAATGAAAAGTAATATTTTGCAAATATATCCTATATATGTGCGTCATTTAAATTAGTTGGCTAATATTTATAATTTAATCATTAAAGAAAGCCATCGCATAGTTCATTAGACATCAAATAATTAAATTATTTTTAATACACTAAGGTATTTTAGAAATGATATTTACCAAAAATAAGCAATTTAAAACTGATTTAAACAGAGTATAGACAAAAATAACTTTCCAAGCACAGTTTTATAAATATTCCCTATTTGCTTGAAAGATATAGTTTATCATTTGCTACGT